CGGGGTGTCCCCTGAGCCGCGGGGGTGGTGGGCTGCCCGTGTCCCCCGTGCTGGGGGGGTTTGCGGTGCTGGGAGGTGGAGCGGAGTCTGGGCTGCTCCCTTAGCCGGTGAAGTTCAGGTTGTTAAGGGCCGTACGTTCTCCTTCTGGTGTTCTGCTTCAGAACCTAACGGCTGCCAGCCCTGCACAGAGTCCCTGCGCTGTAGGTGGTGTCGGTATCGACTAAATACCAGTTCTGGATTCTCAGCCCGGTTTTGGGGGGCAAAAGAAAGCAGCTAAATCACCTGGGCTGCTTATCGGCTGGTCAGCGACTGCTGATCTTCCCCCTTCAGCGACTGCTGATCTTCCCTCTCCAGCCTAGCTGTAAACTCCCAAAGGAAAGTTTAATCTTATTCTCCATTGTTAACTTGGGAATGCTCTTCAGGGGGAATTTTCCCCATTAGTAAGATTTGCCTGATATTCGGCTTTAGTTTCTTTTGAATTACATGTGCTGTTGTATAACAGAGCCTGGGCATCCACCTATGCCTTTAAAAATATGTTAGAAAAAGAGAAATTGATGTTATTATAGTGGAGGGTGCTTTTGTAGGAACACCTTTTGGGTGACGAGCAGCAGATAACCCATGCATAGCATTTGGTCTAAGAGCAGGAGAAGAGGAACTACCCCAAGGCCAAGTAATGGGTGCAGAAATCTCTGTGGAGAAGGAAGGCCACATAGAACTCTAACATCCATGCAGAGCAGAAGGGACTTTGGCATCTCTTACAGACTTGACAGACTACGAAGGGAGCTGGAGAGAATGCTCAGCAAATGAATTTGGGGCTACCTTTGAGATTCCACTAATGATTTGTTCTTTACCTACCACCTTCAAAGCACCCCAATACCGTAGCCATGCCTAGATGCTTCTGTGACTTAAGCAGAACTGCACTCGAAGCATGTCAGGGGTGCTGTGCTTCTGGAGCAAGGTAAGAATTATTTTGTAGTAATCTGTCACAGAGGAAGCTTTTGGAAAGACCGAGTGAGAGAAGCAGAGGAGAATTAAAAGCTAGCTGTGCAGGCTGTGTTTAATGGTGCAGCTGACACTGCAAGTACCTCTTTTCCGTGCTCCTGTAACCACATCTGTTCCATCCTTCCACAGCACAGTCAGCATCTGGAACCTGTCCTCAAAAGCAAAGATACTCCCTCAAACTTGTGAGTTTTGATCTGTTTGGGTAAGGAATAGTGCATAGTGTACCGTGTCCAGGGCCTGACCCATTCAGCCCACGTGGCTAAGAGTGTCCGAGAAATTCACAGAAAGTGGTCGCAGAGGCTCCTCCTGGCTTAGGAGATGGATATAACCTCCGGAAAGTGTCGGATTTTAGTAGCAGTTGGCTCTTCTGCTAAAGGTGTGAAGAAAACAAAGATAAGGATTAAAAAAAGGAAAAGCTTTTGTCCCAGAAGGTTGCCTCTTCAATCCACCAAGCTTGGTAATCTCCAAAACTGAATTTGATGGTGTGAGGTAGAGGTCTTGATTCATTAATGTCAGACCTGCTTTTTTTTTCCTCTGTGACAAGTGTGCACGTACTGTGTTGGAGTCTGGGGAAACTGGAGAGGTTAGAATTTGGTGGCTGTGCTGAGGTAGTGTGAGGAACCAGCCCCGAGAGACTCTGTAAGGCCCGAGCGCATCTTTTAATCAAACAGTAATGACACTTGGAATTCTGAGCCAGTTTTCTAGGCTCTTGCCCACAGCTTGGGTTCTCCAGAAACGTGCTGTTCCCAGTAAGAGCTGTTCTGCAATGGGAGTTCAGTTGATAGATTTTCAGTAACTCACAAACCAGAGCAGACAGACTGTTTTCTTGTCTGCTGCGGCTCTGGGGGGTTGGCTGTGGGAAGACCAGTGATGACTGATGGCTCTGGGAGGGACCTGGTGGTGCCCACTCTTGCGGGCACTTGAAAAATCACTATCCCTTTTGTCCAAAGAGACATTTAAGAGGATGGAGAAAGAATACAGCATTAAGGAGAAAAGGCAGCTAACTGCCACAAAACTAGAACCAGGAGATGGGAAACTAATAGTTTCTGCACACAACACTCCCAGCTCCTCTGTTTTGCACCTTTGGCATCTTTTGGCGCTTTGCTCAGTAGTCGTCTTTGCTCAGCCCAGCCCTTGCGGCTGCAGAGGACTGTGCAGTGTGATATGGCACATGAGGGCATTTTGTCTGCTGGGTTTGATGGCTCACCAGGCAAGGTGCAGAATAAAATATCCTCTGGAACGTGGTGGTTTGTGTTGCCTGGAGCGTGCTGATCCCCCAGCTACCTTGGCCAGTTGTGGGTAGGGCCTTTGGTATCAAACCTGCCAGGATATAAAACCGCTGCCTCCTCCCATGCTTAATAGTATCTGTCTTAGGTTAGCTTGCGGTGTGCCGAGCATGTCTATCCGTGTGCACTGGCAAATGCATATATCCTGACTGTACACTGTATATACATCTTGGGTTACTTGGTAACAGCAGCAGTAAGAGGGCAGTAGTGCTTGCTGGTTTAAAAAGGTAGGCTGTAAGATGTCAGCGCACCATCCAGACACTTGAATGTCACAAATACAGACTTGCTTGTCTGGCTTTCTGACAGCTAGAATAAAAATGTTCTAGTGCTTTGTTGGGCCTTGCCTGTTGGCAGCAATAACTCATCTGTGCTGTGGGTAAGAAGGTTGCCTCTGGCTCCTATTAAAAGTAACAGCCTGGGGACCAGAGCTTGCTGTAGGTTGCCAGGTGGTCTGCATCGTCTAGATGCTTTTAGCCCACAGACGGTTGTAAATGGTAGTGCTTGAAATGTCCAACGTGAGACAGCCGCTCCCTTGTTCTGTGCTGATGCTCAGAGTTTATGTGGTTGGTAGGCGCAGGATTAGTTAACCAAAAGACCTGAGCTCTGTTCTCAGCTCTGTTCTTGATCTGGTATTTTATTTTTTTGGGGGGGGGGCTTGTTGCTTTCTTTAAAATGAGTAGTGGAGGTCTTGTAGCAGTCTTGCCCAAGTTTCCCTTTCTAGCAGGATGTGTGTGCCTGAGGTAATGCTCCTTCTTCCTGTTCCCTTTAGGATGTCAAAGATGGCAAGATCTACAATGAACAGAACTTCTTCCAGCGAGCTGCGAAGGCAGGCACAGGTTGGTGCTTCTTGGAAGGGTGAGGATTAGGCTGCGTGTTAGGAAAACTGGCATCCCTTTCCCATCAGTTCCGTGAGTCTCATGAAGGCCAGGCTAGAATCAGCTCATTCACTGCTTGGTTAGTGCTGGAGTGCTGAGAAGTTTGTCCAAGAGCTGGCTCTCCCAGGAGTCTCTGTACCTTAGGACATGGCAGTATTGGCATTTTGGAGCTTTCCTGCCCTGCCCACGCTTTGTCTTGATCTCCCCGGTAGCTGTTCAGCCGTGCAGCCTGACCTGCTGTCTGGTATTTGCTCCATTGACACAACTGAGCAAGAGCCGTGCTGACCAGAGAACATGGGCAGGCGTTTGAGCAGGGGTGATGGAGGAATTGATGTCTAACCTGCACTTCTGCAAGGACTGTAAAAATGTGCTTCTCCATCCCTCTCTCCCTTTTTTTGTTTTCCCAGCCCTATAGCAACCCTATGCCCTAGTCTGCTCTGGTATTCCCAGCATCCTTTCTGGCTTACTCTTGCTCTGCGGTGCTACGTGCGTTGGTATCCCAATACCGCAGCACATCAGGCTGGCATTGCTGGGACAGCATCGGTATGAGAGCTGTGAGCTGCCCAGGCCTGTGGAGAAAGGGCATACTGAACCAAGCTCCTTCGTTCTGGAGCTTCTTAGCAGCATCTGCTGCACTCTCTCCTTCTCTCCCCTTCTAGTGGAGAAGTGGAAGAAGTGGCATGCTGTGCCGTTGCTGGGAATCCCCACTTGCGTTGGCTTTGGACTGCATGCAGACAGCTACAGGTGAGGTGACTCTGCGAAGGGCACAGCTGAGCTCTTTTGTCCACAACTGTTGTGTTGCTGGTGAAGTCATTCCTTTTGCTGCTTCTGCCCCTCAGGCCAGGGGACACCTTCTTCCTGCCTTTAATATTAACATGCAATGCATGATCAGCACGTCTCTCCTTTTCAAGGAGTTTTCTATTCTCAAAAGCTGAGGAAATGTTTACCTGGGTTAACTTGGAGTTGAAGGGGGGTTTGATCCAGGTGGGTTGCTTGATGAGCATCCGTCACAGGGTGTCCAAATCAGGTAGGTACTGCTCAGTGCTATGTCTTTGTCTCCTGTAGGTTTTTGGTGTTCTCTGACTTAGGGAGAACTCTTCAGTCTGTCCTGAATGATGGCTTAAACATACTGAGGGAGAAGGCAGCTTTTCAGATTGTAGTCCGGCTGGTATGTAGAGAACCGGTACTTCCTAAGAGACTTTTCTGAAAAAGATCTATAACTTTCTTCTGGATCTTTCAGAGGTGTTTTAAAGCTGATTGAGGGGGTTGGTTGGGGTCTCTAAGTAGCATCTCTTGAGCCTGTTGTAAACTTGAGTAGCATCTTTTGAGCAGTATGTCACCTTGAAGGAAGTGGGGGTGAGGAGAATGAGAGGAACCTGACTCTTGAAAATTAGAGGCTGTGAGACATGGTGCTTTTTGTGCTCCTCTGCACAGCTGTGGGGAGCTGGGGAGGGTCCAGCTCAGTGATAGCCAGAGTACTGAAGGAGTCTGTGTGGTTCTGATATGCTTGCCTCTTCTGTTTACTCATAGCTAGACTGCCTGGAGTACATTCATGAAAATGAGTACGTGCATGGGGACATCACAGCTGAGAACGTCTATTTGAACCCAGTGGACCTCACACAGGTAGGGAGCGGTGCAGCGAGGAAATGGCAGTGAAGGCTCGCCTGTGAAATGGGTTAGAGCAACACCCAGGTTCCTGCTGCTGGCCAGGGAGCCGTGCAGTCTGCGCAGGGCTCAGGCATGTGCTGTGGTGCGGGATTGCGGGCTGTGCTCCCATACGAGGACAGACGGAGAGAGTTGGAGGTGTTCCGCCTGGAGAAGAGAAGGTTCTGAGGGAGACCTAATAGCAGCCTCCCAGTGCTGAAAGGGGGCTACAGGAGAGATGGGGGGCTCTTGATTAGGGGGTGTAGGGACACGACAAGGGGTAATGGTTTTAAGCTGCAAGAGGGGAGATTGAGATGAGATGTGAGGAAGAAATGTTTTCCTGTGCGGGGGGTGAGGCAGTGGCCCAGGCTGCCCAGAGAAGCTGTGGATGCCCCATCCCTGGAGGGGTTCAAGGCCAGGCTGGATGAGGCTTTGGGCAACCTGGGCTGGTGGGAGGTGTCCCTGCCCATGGCAGGGGGTGGCACTGGATGGGCTTTAAGGTGCCTTCCAACCCAGACCATTCTGTGATTCTGTGCTGTAAGCAGAATTCCCACCACATGCATGTTCACACGTGCACTTCTCGATGTCTCCCAGGTGACCCTGGCAGGCTATTGCTTTGCATTCCGTTACTGCCCGGGAGGGAAGCATGTGGCTCAGCGTGAAGGCAGCAGGACCCCTCATGAAGGCACGATCGAGTTTATCAGTCTGGACAGCCACAAGGGAGTGGGTGAGTCTCAGTTTCTGACACAAGGCAGCAAAAGCTTGGCTAGAGCTCTTACTGTGGCAGTGCTGGAGCCAGGGCTCCCTGCTGGCACTTCTGTTCTTGCTGCCTTCCAGGCATTCACAGGCATCTGGAACCAAATTCCTGTTTGGGCTGTTTCCTCTTGCCTCTCCCTGGTACTTTCCAGGTCACTCTGCGACTGCAGCAAGAGGTGCAGGGATGTTCCTCCTCCATCTGGAGCCTTGGCTGCTGCAGGCATGTGAGGGATAGAAGACAGAGCTGCTTCATGCTGGCTTAGCAGGGATCTGTTTCAAGCCAGACTGGATCCCTACCCAAAACAGATTTGCAGCAGGCTCTGCTCTGACCTTGAAGCAGCGAGAGCTGGAAAGGCATTTAAATCAGTCAGTTCCTCTCCTGGTTGGGATGTGACTGTTCTCTCCCAGTGTTCAAACTGGGCAAATCTTCCTCCAGAGGCTGGGAGGTGATTCCTCAACTGTGAGAGTTAGCAGGCTCCCAGAAGTACTGATATCCTAGAGCACATCTTCATGAAGCTCTTGCATTTTGTTACTCTGTAGAGTTGTGCCCCTTCATGAGGCTGCCTGTTTTATAGAAGGGGCACCTCAGATAGAGACTGCCAAGGTTGTGCAGGGAGTGCTGGAGTCCTTACTTGCCTTTGGAGGAGAGGTGCTAGCCTGTGCTTCTGGGATGGCTCCCAAGCTCTGTTTTCTCACATGTGAATATCTCTTCCTTCCCATCAGGACCATCTTGCCGGAGTGACTTGGAATCTCTGGGCTACTGTCTTCTGAAATGGCTCTGTGGCTTCTTGCCTTGGTCTGATGAGCTGGACAAAGTAGAAACTGTGATGGAGAAGAAAGAAAAGTAGGAGAAATCATCTACTTTTTTGGGAAATGCTCAGCAGAAAAGAGTGAGGGAGGTTTTGCAACAGAAGAGAAATCACTTGGTCATAGTACAGTGTTGGGATGTAGGTAAATCCCACTGTAAAGGCTGAGCCTGGCCAAAGGGTGTTTGATGCACCCTGATTTCTGCTCCATTCAGAACGTGGCTATCTGAATTCAGCCTTTTTTTTTTTTTTGTCCTTCTTGCCAAAGATGGGCTGTTCAGATGCCTGCTCCATTGCTTCTCATCTGACAGCACTCTGCACTGATTATTCCAGGTACAAAGGGGACGTGAAATGTCTTCTCCAACTGTGCTTCAGGCAGAGATCCATTCCAGGTACGGGCTTGCTTCTGTGACAGTGGAACTTGGGGAGGGAGGATTGACTGTACCTGAAGCTAGAACCTTCTCTGCGCTGGGGTGCTAGTCCAGAATGGCTTCCGCTGGCAACGATGACCAGGCATTGCATGGATTGGTTGGCAGCAAAACAAGGAGGGCTGCAACCCATTAGGAGCCTTGCTGAAGAGGCAAGTGTTCTGGTGGCTTTAAAAATGCAGTATTTGGAGCTAGAGGCTGTTTCCCCATCCTGTCTGGCTTCACATTAGCCGTTGGTTTTGTTTTCCCGCTCTGCATCTGGCCAAAGCAGGTGGGTGAACAGTCTGCAGGGAGAATGGTGGCTTTGTAAGGACAGCTGGGGTTGCTGCGCTGCTCCAGGCACTGATGTTCCTTGCTTTGCAGATGCCCTACAGAGCTACCTGCAGCAGGTAATGGCACTGGAGTACGAGGAGAAGCCCGACTACAAGGCCCTGAGGCAGCTCTTCAAGAAGGCCCTGGGAGAGATGAAAGCTTCTGCTTACGACTCTGTGGATATCAAAATGGTGCCCTAGGTGAGTGCCAGCAGCTCAGCCTGCAGCAGCACCCAGCCCTTGTCCCCCTGTGCTGCTGGGAGTGGAGGAGCATCATGGTGCTGCTGGCCTGCCCGGTGGAGCTGCTGACAGGGAGCTGAGAACAGAGCAGGGGGTCTGTGAAAATCTCTCCCAGTTACACCTACGTGCTCCTCTTGACGTGTGGAGGGAGCACCGGCTCTCCAGCGTTCCCTGCTAAGAGACCAGTCTGGTGCTACACAAAGCCACACTGAGCCTGTATTACAGCGTATGCTTCCTCAATTTTTTCTGGAAATACTTGTCCTTGGAGGAACACAACAAGGGATAATAAAGGCTGAACAGTCTGCAAGGCTGTGGAGTTGCTAACAAAATTAAGACTGATGCAATTTGGTCCTCTTTTTTTTTTTTTTTTTTTTTTTCTTAAAGGAACAAAGGCTCCAGGCTGTGTCTTTGGCTTTTCAGAGAGCAGTTTGTAGTGTTGGCTTTATCTCCTCAGGCCTGGGGCACTAAGTGGTGGCTCTCTAGCTGCAGGTGCTGTTTTCTATGTGAGGCACCTCCCAGATTGACACAGAGATGGATCTGATTTTAGTCCAGGGCTGCCTCAGCCCAGGCCAGGGGATTAAGCAGCAAGCCCCAGGAACGCAGAGCTAGCACCTCATCACCTAATTCATTGTTCCTGGGAAGGAACTGAACTGATTAATGTTTCCGCTTTTGTGCCTTTTCTTTCAGATCAAGAAAACTTGCACAGGAAAAGAATTGAAAGCTTTCTGCAGTGTGAGGCCTTTCCCACAGCTATTTCACTTTTACTTACCTATTTTAGAACTGAGAGGTTTTTAAGTGTTTTCTTCCAATTTTAATGTGACTTAATGCTGAATTTTGAACCACTGCTGTTACAAGTTAATGTGAAGACACTCCTGCGGGGCAAGGCATTGTAAGCAGTAGCTGGAGAACTGCAGTGTAGCCACCAGGAGAGGGGTGAAGCCTGGCACAGAAAAACTAAATGAGGGACTTTTTTTTTAAAGTCCAGTAGAAATACCTAGTTTTGTAATAAACTTTGTGGACAAGCACCTAAGGCTGCTCTCTTTTGGTTATTTGGTGTGTTCAAGGCCTTTCTGTAGGCTTGCTCACTGGGGCTGCTGTAAGAGTTGTGATGCTGGTTTGAGCCCCTTGCTTCTTGTGCAGGGTGTTCTCCCAGCTCCTCCTGTTACTGTAAACAGCCTGCAGGCAGTCCTGTCTGCAATGGCATCATTAGAACTGGGCTCAGAGCTAAACTCCAACTTCATCCCCAAACATCCCCTCAGTTCTCCAAGCCCCAGGTCAGGGAAATTACCCTCCTGTGCGAGGACAGGCTGAGAGAGTTGGGGGTGTGCAGCCTGGAGAAGAGAAGGCTCCAGGGAGACCTTCCAGCTCCTTCCAGTACTGAAAGGGGGCTCCAGGAGAGCTGGGGGGGCTCTGGATCAGGGGGTGCAGGGACAGGATGAGGGGGAATGGTTTTAAGCTGGAAGAGGGGAGATTGAGATGAGATATTGGGAAGAACTGTTTTCGTGTGAGGGTGGGGAGGCACTGGCCCAGGTTGCCCAGAGAAGCTGTGGATGCCCCATCCCTGGAGGGGTTCAAGGCCAGGCTGGACAAGGCTTTAATACCAGTCACTGAAGTAAGACAGGGAGCCATTTACATTAAAAAATAAAATTTATAAAAACAGTCACTACATGGTGTGTATCATCTGAACTGTTGCCACCTGCCACAGTAACTGATAAAGGGAAGAGTCATGGAGTCCAGTTCCAGTGTTAAATTCAGTGACACCTCCTGGAAGGCTTGTACCTCGGTATTTCAATGTTCATTACTGTGTGTAAAGAGAAGGCTGTTTTCCTAGCACATGCAGGCTTGCTAGGCTGAGGTCAGTGGTGGTGATTTCTTCAAATTGTTACTGAAGCAGCATAGATTTCATTTTTGGTAAGAGCATCCACTGCCCTTGCAGAGTAGGAGGCAGTAGCAAGGCTTAAATTCGAGCTTTCAGCAAGACAACAGTCTGCCCTTACTGCATCGCTGCCTGGTGCTAGTGTTCAAGTGATTTGTGCTTTACTCAAAGAAAGATTAATGGCAAGAGCAAGGAAGACTGTGCGAGACAGGCAGTGAAATGGAGCCTGAGGCTGGAGGTGGCAGTTGGAGCACACAGTTCCAGCAGAGACGAACAGTTCACAGAGATCACACTGCTGTAGTGCAGGGCAGGGAGGTGTTAAGGCACAGAAGGAGGAGTTCTCAGGTGAGGGAAACACAAGGCATCTAGAGCCTGAGGCAAAGGGGGTTTAAAACCATCTGAGAGGTAGGTAAAAAAGAAGCTCAGACCTCCAGTGAGCCTTCATTTACCTCTTGGTTGTATCCATAAAAACCTTAGACCAGTGCGGCAAATGGTATATACAGAGAAGAGGGAAACACCAGCTGAGTGAGACAGTACCTAGCCAGAGGGAAAAGGCAGCACAATCTCAGAAAGGTCTTTCAAGTGGAAGAATTCAAGCATAGTGTTGTTTCTCAAGTTACTGGATGCAAAGTCAAACCAGCTGAGTGAGACAGTACCTAGCCAGAGGGAAAAGGCAGCACAATCTCAGAAAGGTCTTTCAAGTGGAAGAATTCAAGCATAGTGTTACATCCAGTAACTTGAGAAACAAAGTCAATTCATTTCTTTCATAGCGCCAGGCCTCACAGCAAAGCAAGGGACAGGACAGGTTCTTTTCTATCACCAAGGAGTAACTGGTGAGGTATGACAGAAGTGAACTATAAAGTTTAATATGTGAAGAAGAATCTTAATTTGCAGAGGATCAGAGAGTAGGGAATACTTTAAAAAGGCAGCTATCAAGGAAGGAAATGGCCCAGAAGTGAGCTACAGAATTACAAGACAGAAAAACACAAGGGAAAAACACAGTATTTCTGTTGTAGTCATACAGGGATGATAGTGAAAAATTGTAACTTTTCAATTCACTATCATCCCTGTGCGACTACAACAGAAATACTGTTTCCAGGAATCCTAGAAAAGTAAAAGAGCATGAAGAAATCAGAGGCTTAAGAAGCCCAAGTTCAGCCTTTCTTCACTGTGTTCTGCCACATTTTTTCGCTTGACTGGCCGCCTGTCACCCTTGCCATTGCTAGGCCCAGCACAGACTGGCTGTAAACACGGTTCCAGGTAAGGAGGCAGGCACAGCTCCTTGTTGGCAGCACTGCCACGGGACAGAGCTGAGGTAGGTTTCAGAGGTACTCCAAGGCTGCCTTCTACAGAAGATGTAGGGCTGGCGCTGCTGACAGAAGAGTATCCCGAGGTCCCTTCCGGGTTGGGATTTCTCGGGGTGAGATATGCTGAGAGGCTGCGAGTGCCGTGCGGCAGCTTGGGCTCCCTCAGGGGGGCTGTGTGCTCAGCCCACTCTGCAGACAGGCTGTCCTCGTCACTGGAGTCCTGACAGCAGTGCTCTGAAGGGTCCATGTAGACCACGGTCACATCCAAGATACCGCTGGGACCTGTCACTGCGAGATGATTAAAGACAAAGTGAAGTTTTGATTTGGGCCACCCCAAGCAAGCATTCTGCACACAATCAAGTAGGAAAAAAAAAAAAAAAAGCAAGAGCATAAACCTTATGTCTACTTACACATGGAGGGGAGGGTAGAGCCCTAAGTTCACCCTCATTTAAAACAGTAACTTTCCCCCCCTCAGACTATTTGGATAGGTACTAAAGCTGTTTAGAAGATGAACAGCCAGCCCCAGTGTCAGCAAATCAAACAGATTATGAGTGTTTCTAACATGGGGCCATTCATCGGGCTTGGTCTACTATGAGCAGTATCTGAAAACAGTCTCACTTTGAAGTGCTAAGCAGCTGCAAAACCCTTCATCCTGTTCTGAAGCAATATAGAGAAAGAGAACAGATATATACCTCTAAAATAGTTTAACAATTAGAACCACAGGGGAAAGGGGGAGAGTTTTTCCAAGTGGTCTTCAGCTGAAAGTTCAGGCTTCTGGTGCCTGAGAAACAGTTTTAAGCAAAGATGAAAAAACAGTTTTAATTCTCCCATCTGCTTTTTATAAGGAGAAAAAAAAACCCCTCACCATCTCCATCTCTCTCGCCTTCACTTTCCTGATCACCTTCATAACCAGAGCAGGAATCTAAACTCCAGTCTAGGAAGTTATCTAGAAGACTTTCTTCCTGGGTGGATAGCTCTGCTGTGGGTGTAGTCACAAAGCTGCCTCTGTCATCCTGAATGCTGTCTTCCCTCCTCCTGTAGCAAGAAAATCCAGAAGTCACCATTAAAAGCCAAGTCTTCTTTTCTGGCTCTTTTAATAGGTATGTCACAGTAATTACAGAAAAATTGATTGTATTTAAGAATGAAACCTCAGGCTACCAGAGAGGAGGAAAGGCTCAAGCTAATCTTCGGAGGCATTTACAGCGATGAGTTATACTAGCCTTTTAGTTCTCCTTCCTGAGGGAGAGCTAAGGAAAGCCTGAATTTCCACCATGTTCGTGTGCAAGGTACTGGGCTCCGGATCCTCCTGTTTCACACCCAGCAATGAACAGAACTGGCTGTAACTCATCATCTAAAAAAAAAAAAAAATCAAAGAGCCAGTAAGAATTAGACCATGAAATTCTTCACACATGTACTCAAAACAGAGCAATTTTAGTCCCCACAGATCAACTTTACCACTTTTAGATATTCTGTCTTCCATATGTCTAAAGTTAGAACCCACTTCCCATTATTTGAAGTTTACTGCATCCTGCCCTATGGTAGCTTTGGTCTGGGTGTCAGGCAGCAGAGCTAACCCACAGCCAAAGAGCTAACCCACCTTTTCTTTGCCTATTTCTTCATAACGCTCATCTTCAAATCGTTGTTTCACTGCAGTTAAGGACACCTGCCTATAATCCTTCGGGACATCATCATGGAAACTGGAAAGAAAGATTAAAGCCCTGATCTTAGAATGGATTATGTGAAACAATATTAACAAAACCTGCCAATTGAAGTACTTTCCCTCAGTCCATCTCAGCTCTGTGCTAAGGAAGTTGGTATTTCAGCAGTGCTGAACATGTGAGCATCTAATTCCTTTTCTGTTCCTTGAGGTAAACAAGATATTTGCCTTTTACTCTTTAAAAAATGAACTTTTACTTTTGCTACCAGAGCTCCTTCTGAAGCTCACAATAAGCCAGTGAAAGTCTTGTGAAAATAGTGCTGTTTGGCAAGCTGAAACCTGTTACGCCTTGAGGAGCATCACATTTTCTGTACCCCAGGGCCACTACAGGTTGTGAGAAACAGCAGAGCTGTCCCTGAAGTGGCCCCAAGGCCTCAATGCCTTGTGGTGAGGAGAACAAGGCAGCTTCCCAAAGCCACGTCCTTCACTGGGAAGGGCAGACTGTATAGATGCAGCATGTCTGGCAAAAGCTGGAATCCAAGTACTTGTACCCTCCCAAAAGAGTTCCAAAATTATTACCACTTTTGGTGGAGGCTTAGCACACAGGGCAACAGGTCTTCAAGAGAGAAACCAGTACATTCAGCCAGCTGGCTGGTCCAGGGGTGTGCTGGAGAAGAGAACACATGTTAACATTTCATGAAACTTAGTAGCTTCGTAATCAGATATTTTTTAATGGAATAAAGATCGTGATCTTTACAAGCTTATGCCTGTACATAGTTCGTTCAAGTTCACAATTAGCCTCAAGGACAGGTTTACCTGCCAAACTGAAGTTATACCCAAGTACAGAAATCTTCAGTCTCATGTAAACACAATGCTTGTGTAGTCTGATGCTAATACTCCTGTTCATCACAGCTATTAAGAGGTAAAATAGACTGAACTCAAGCCTTCATTCTGAAGTCTTATACCTGTCCCCCTCTTCTCCCACCCCTACCCCCACAAAATGATGAGGACGTCTTGCCTAAAGACAAAGAAACACCAAAAACCCCCAGAGGCTCCCTAAAAAGCCGAGGCAGCCTGTCCCACCCTGCTGCAGCTCAGCGCAGAGGCTGTTCCTTACCTTGCCTGTGCAGAATTTTAGCCAGCAGCAGTGCTGCGACAGCCAGCCGCGCTGGGGAGTACACACAAAGGCTTGTGTTTAAGAGGGACAGCTCGCAAATGAAGCTGTAAAGGTGAAGAGTTCTTCTCTCCAGCGGGACTATGTTTGACAATACTTCTTTGTAGTCAACAATGGTAGGTATCTAGTACACAAAGGAGAACAGACATCAGAAATACAAGATGAACACCAAGTATTTAGAACACAGCTGTTTCCAGGAGAGCAGCCCAAGGGGTGAAATACACCATCCGCTTTCCAAACTCACCCGTATCTTTCCTTCTAGGGCAGAAATGATCTCACCCATCATTCTGACCAAGTCTTCATATTTGTATGTGTTGTCTGTTAGCCACACAGCTTCCCGTATTGTCAGGATCTCTTTGCTGATGAAACTGCAATATTAAATATGAACAGTTAGCCTCAGAAGAAAGGGAATATGTGCACCTGTGCACTAATGTTTTTGTAGCAGATAAATGCACCCAAGCTGACCAAAGTGTTAAACAATTTCATAAGGTACTTGTTAAATAACTTTATAAGGTACTTTCCCAGATACAGACCAGGAAAGAAAAAACAGCAGCTTTTCATTTATTTCACCTTTAACCTGGAACCACCTACTAGAACATTCCAAATTCCTCATTTATGAAACCTCTCCTAGGTTAAGCAGCAATATATTAAGGAAACTAACACAGAAGAATAATTTTCCACCACACCACGTGGTTCATCTGACAATAAAGGACTAAACTAGGTAACAACACCGCTGCAGTTGTTCCTGACGGGGTTACTCATGTTAACACAGCGTAAAAGACTTCAGCTGCCGAAGCATTGAGACCAATCCCCCACTATGGAGCATTTTCATATTTAAAAACATGTTCAAGGAATTAAATTGTGCATCTAATTTGCAGAGCATTGTATGTGAACACAATTCAAGCAACAGTCAATGAAGAGGGACACCAAAGGTTCTTTCCAGTATTATTATTATCAAGGGGAAAAAAAACAGAGCTTGAGCTGCAGAAATGAATTTGAATGATCACAGTAACTGCCTCTGTTCACCAGTCAGAACCCCTACCGTGTGCAAATGACCATGCAGGCTATTCCTAAAAGCTGGAGTCGAGCCCGAGGTACAGGTCTCAGCTTCAAATAACGATCCACGCATCCCACAGTCATGTGAAGGCACAGGCTAGAAAAGTCTTTCATAGTCGCCACTTCTACCAACCAATCAATCAGGATGTACCTAGAGAGGAAAGAGAGAAACACCATCGATGCCGTCAGAAGCCACTCAAAGCCGTGCTGAACACCCTCCCCACGCCTGGTTACTAAGTCCCTCCTCCACTCAAATTTCTAAGCCAAGAAATTTCACCAAAATAATTTTTAGAACAATGACATGCTGCACCAAGATAAGGATTTGCAACCCCAGGTCTGTTACCCTCTGAAGGGTCAACGGTCTTGTCTGGGAAATGGAATTAGGAACTATCCTATGACATGAAAGAGTAGGGCACAAGAATTAGGAGGCTAAAGGCCTCCTAAGATACCCAGAGAGTAGCTATAGCTCCAACAAGTCAGCTGGTATCTCTAGTTCTTGAAGAACTTTCTAGTCTTGACAGATGCAAGAACTTACAGACCAGAGAAAACCTCACACACCTCATTTCAGTTCTTCATCAGAACTTGAAATAAGGGCTCTAATACTGCCTCTTTGCAAAGTCTCATCTATTTCTACATAATGCACCAGAGAAGAGTAAAGCAAAAGATTCCATCTTCCACAGGCCTCATTCTAGATCTGCTTCCCTCTACATCTGCAGAGGGAAACAGGCAGTGGTTTCTGCTGTGTGGCCTGACTCCTGGATCCAAGTTTTTACCTCATTGTTTCATTCATTCCTTTCTGCACAGCGAAGATTCTTTGCTTGCTGACAGGAAGGGAAGCTTGAAAGATTTGAGACACTGCTTCACTGGAAAATTTTGCTTCTAATCCTAGTTGGCTTCCATTCCCACAAGCTTTGGCTAAAGCTATCTGTAGTAGAGAGAACAGAAAAGAAAGTTTGGGGTTTTTTTTCTTCACCAAATGTAAACTAAAGCAGCATAGGATCAAAACAGTTGACATGCTGGAGGGAAGGGATGCCATCGAGAGGTACCTCGACAGACTTAAGCGGTGAGCCAATGCAAACATCAAAGTTCAACAAAGTGCAAGGTCCTGCACATAGGTTGGGGCAATCCCAAGCACAAATACAGGTTGGGCAGAGAATGGCTTGAGAGCAGCCCTGAGGAGAAGGACTTGGGGGTGCTGGTTGATAAGAAGCTCAACATGAGCCAGCAGTGTGCACTGGCAGCCCAGAAACCACCCGTGTCCTGGGGACATCCCCAGCAGTGTGAGCAGCAGGGCGAGGGAGGGGATTGTCCCCCTCTGCTCCACTCTGGTGAGACCCCCCCTGCAGTGCTGCCCCCAGCTCTGGGGTCCTCAGCACAGGACAGACACGGAGCTGCTGGAGCGGGGCCACAGGGCAAAAGAAAGCCACAAAAACCATCAAAGGGCTGGAGCACCTCTGCTGTGAAGACAAACTGACGGAGTCAGGGTTGCTCAGCTTGGAGAAGAGAAGGCTCTGTGGAGACCTTATAGCAGCCTTTCAGTACCCGAAGGGGTCCCACAGAAAAGCTGGAGAGGGACTTTTTACA